CCACAATACCAGATGCTTATACCAACACTGCCACAATACCAGATGCTTATACCAACACTGCCACAATACCAGATGCTATACCAACACTGCCACAATACCAGATGCTATACCAACACTACCACAATACCAGATGCTTATACCAACACTGCCACAATACCAGATGCTTATACCAACACTGCCACAATACCAGATGCTTATACCAACACTGCCACAATACCAGATGCTATACCAACACTGCCACAATACCAGATGCTATACCAACACTACCACAATACCAGATGCTTATACCAACACTGCCACAATACCAGATGCTTATACCAACACTGCCACAATACCAGACTTATACCAACACTGCCACAATACCAGACTTATACCAACACTGCCACAATACCAGACTTATACCAACACTGCCACAATACCAGTGCAATGTTTATGTAGATACGGACAACACAACCCCACTCCCCCCCCCCACAGCCTCCCCCCCCCCACAGCCTCCCATGCAGTATTTATTTAGTTATGCAGTGTAAATATTTAATAGCCCAGAAGACTGGCACAGCCTGGTGAAACCTGGCGAGACCTTGAGGCACAGCCTGGTGAGACATGGCGAGACCTTGAGGCCAGTAGCGATGTCTGGGTATTAGACTGGAACGGAAAGACACGATGAACGGCGGGGCGACATAGAAACAGATAAGCTGTATGTGTGGGTGGGGGTGGGGTGGTGGTCGGAGATCAGTTACGGGCGGTCAGGCGGGGCTTGTAAATGTAAAAAAAAAAAACCAGCCAAAATACAAATGGCCGGGGAAAACCTACACGGTTATAAGACCAGTTATATTTCAATTGAATGTCAAGTATCATTGTCAAGTCAACCAGATGCCAGTTATGTCAAGTCTACCAGATGCCAGTTATGTCAAGTCTACCAGATGTGAATAATATATGTCAAGTCACTAGATGTCAAGTATATATGCCAAGGCTACTAGATGTCAACAATCAATATCACTTAAGAGTCAACATTAATCATGACCAGGGTCTATATTTCAGGTTACCCTGTCAACTAGAAGTCAAGCTGGCCAAATGTTTAATTAACTCGACAATTAATTACTTGCGCTTTAAAACAATTCAATGTTACAGTTCCACAATGTGCATGTACGTGACCAATAGCGAGACGAGAACAGAGCGGAACGAGAGAAAGTCAGTGGACCATAACAATCCCCACTGCCGGGTTAGCTTTCCACAAGCGACAAGTTCACATTCCTAACGCTCGCCGATACAAGGCTAGATCTCCACGATAACACGGGGAATAAAGCTTAGGGAATAACTTTTACTGCTGGGGGCTAGACTATTTTATTGGCTTTTATGCGCTAGTGAATAACTGCTAAAACTAAAGACATTGGCATTGGAACAGAGTTTCTTCCAGGCATCTCTTCGGGGCGGGTGGGGGGGGGGGGGGAGTCTACCCCTCCCTGAACGAAATGAAATTTATATAGAAAATATATACTTTTAACAGTTAACCCCCCCCCCCCCCGAAAATTTCAAGTGCCCCCAGCCCCCCCCCCCCCCCCGGAGAAAAAAGTCTGGAAGAAACACTGCATTGGAAGGGGAACTTGGCGTTTTCTGGGTGAAAATAAGGAACTTGTTACTTTTTAACTGGTGACAGCCAGAAAGACATGCAGTTTTAAGTGTGGAGAAAAAACTTGCCGTTCGCGCAGGCTCAGAGAAATTTGTCATTCGGAGAATGGTGAAATAAAGATACAAACTTGCTTGTCCTCAAAAAGTTATTTAAAAAAAAAAAACAACGACAGAGCATCAGTGGCGGAACTAGAAAAAAAAGGCTCCCCCGCAAAAAATTTTTTTTGGGCCCCCCCTATATGTATATATATATATATATATATATATATATATATATATATATATATATATATATATATATATATATATATATATATATATATATATATATATATATATATATATATATATATATATATATATATATCCGAACTCGAGAACTTCGGGCAAGCTATCAAAAGCTATATATATATCTAAATTTCAAATAGTCTATTACCTGAGTATTTTTATCTATTTCATTGCAATGTATAACCACTCTGAGATAACGAACCAGACAACAATAAGTCCGAACTCATTTCGGGCCCGCAATAATCATTTTTTACAAATTTTTGTATTATATTTTCATGCTTACCGAGAATTGTGAAAATATTTGCTTTAAAATTGATATGATGGTCAAAATTATATAAACACGTAAGCTTGATTTGTGCAATGGTTTCTCGCGTTATGTTTATTTTTATGATTTTTCGTATGTATATTATCAGTTTTTAATACATTCATTTTTATAGCTATATGATTCTTTAGTATGCCTTATTTATATAATAATTAAGAGATTAAATCGCTCTCTAAAACAAAACTATTTAAATGAGCTTTATGGGCACCCCTATTATAAAGGAGGGCAGTAAATCATGGAAGTAGTCTTTGCCTATCTTTCAAAATACAGCTCTTGTGGATTTTATATTTTTTCTACGCAACAGTGTGTGTTAGTTACTGTAGAACAATCACTGCTATAGTAGACCTGTTTGTTTTTTACAAAACCGCTATCAAGATGCACGAAAAAGATTATTTATGAAAAGAAAATTTATTGTTTTTTTTTGGTCGGAATTGGGCCCCTAAAAGTCGTGGGCCCCCCCGCATTGCGGGGTCTGGCGGCACTGTAGTTCCGCCCCTGCAGAGCATTGCTGGTTGGAATTAGAAAAACATGTTAATACAGAAATTGTGCATAGTTCTTTAAAAACACTTCCGCGAGCAGTAACACGCTATAGATAATCTAGAACTAATAAAACAACATCCCAATGACGCGACCACATAGTATTGCCTACCATTCTAGACATTTAGTGCTATATTATCACCAAGCACTAACCTACTTTGTCCGTAAATTGATGCTACTCTCTTACGCAAGAGTTCCTCGCTAGCTGCTTGTATTAGAGTGACCGCGTTTTCCATCCATCCTTCTACTCATTATGTCCTATCACCCTTGTAAATGATTGCATGTAATTGGCCATAATAACCAAGTATTTTATGTTCGTCAGCCGCCCGAATTACCTTTTCAAGTGAAATAAAAATCGATACTTGCTAAAATCTTTTCTTTAAAAAAAAAGTATATATGCATATATCCTTATGTATTCAGTACCAAAAGGGGATATTAAAGAAAGCCCAAACCAAAGCAAACAATAAACCAAATAATGTACAGTATTAAACAGTTTCCCTAGGTCAGTGTGTTTGGATTCGATTCAGGGTATGACTAAGCTGTTTCTGGTAAATGGGTACAAATTACCAAATTTATACTAGCTTACATAAACGAACGTAATCTTTTTTTTTTAGACATTAATAAAAAGGGGTCAAACCTTGACTTTTGAAAGACCAACTAAGTAAAGACTGAACTGAACTCAATGCTGGACAGATTCCCTGCGGTTATTGCAAAACGCTGAAACACATGAACCGTAACCTCAACCACGCCAAAATAAAAAAAACAGTTCGGGTCCTCCATAAACAGACATACTCCCCGTAGGGGGTGGGTGATGGAATTTCGCATTTTAAAATGTTATTTTAAATACTCTAGGTTGCCCGAACTCAGAAAATGTTTTGAAAGCATGCATGGGTGGGGGGGGGGGGGGTATACGCAGGGATGAGACGTCTTTTGTTGGTGAGTCTGGCTTTTTGTAAAAATGGGGGAGGTAAAAATCATCTAAAAAAGCACGACGCCCCCCCCCCCCCCCCCCCATCCCGATATGCCGACGTAATAAGGCCTAAGCAAATCTGATCTAGACGACATTGTAATCTAAATTAGAAATGTGTTTACTTCTTTTCACCCCGACACAATTTTATGAACTGCGTTACTTTACAATAATATTATAACCTACATATTAGGCTTCATATTAATAAGCTCACTCAATCCGTCCTTAAACGTAATAATTATTAATGAATTAAGCTTTATGGCTATAAGATTAATTAACAGCAGTTAAAAATGCAATGTGAACATTTAAAAACTAAAACAAAAATTGAATGAGTAATGAACTTAAAAGCTAACAAATAAAAGGATATAAACTACAACTTTTTCCTGAGGATCCAAAACGTACAATGCCGTTGCTAAAGAAAATTGCAATTTCCAGTATGATATAAAATCAAGAACAGTTTGCAGTCTTGACAGAGCCATTTGAAAAACAGTTTTCCTTAAAATATCAAGAAAAAGCCTTTTTTTTTCTTTTTTTTCCCACTCGTCTGCTTCAACGGTTTGTTGTTGGTCTGAACACGCCCGCACTGCGCTTTACTATTATTGACTGCGCTGAAGTTCACACGGAACGACCTTTGAACTCTAACCTCTTCTTTATAAATGAGTATAGACCCTAGGCTTAAATATAAATTTAACTTGTAGTATTCCGAGGAAGAATTGCCAATCAAATAATTTTTTTAATTTTTGTTTTTGAAAAACATATTTACTGATTATTTACGGAAGTTGTTTTAATTTTCTTAAAATAATATTTTTTTGAATGAGATCTAAACCATTTTTAACTTTTAGTATGTCTTTTCCGCCTCCGGTTTTAGATTGGCCTTACCACATTGGCAATAAATAATTTGTGCTTAGGCCTACACATGATTACAACATGGGTGTTTCTTCTTAAGTTTGGCGTTCGGATTTTAATCGTTAGGGTATATTTATTAAAAATATTTTAACAAAGATATTTTCAGGGACTATTTTCTAATCTCTGTTACTCGTTTAAAATGCACTTAATTTAGCTTCTTAATTTTATTTTAAAGCTTAAATTAATTTCATGTAGGCCTAATGAATTGTAGTGTTAAATATTGCAGTAAACTTTCCTTAAAATTTTAACGGTGTAATTAAATACAATAAATACTAGATCTAGATATAAATCTATATACCACCTTCATAAACATATACAATATATACTTGGTCCTTTTTAGAAAGTTTTGAAAACGTTTTATCTGGCTACTCCATGTTCAATCACAGCCTGGAGAAGTGAGCTAAAATCTATACTAGATTTAGATCTAGATTCTAGATCTGGACTCTAGTTTTACTTAATTTGGTAAAATCACGATATAGCGTCGGAAATTATTGGGTAATGTTCGTTGAGTTTCGGTAGCATTCGTTACTGTAAACCATAGTTTATTTGACCGGTGAAAAAAAAATAAAGTCAAGTGCATTAAATTAATGTTTTAACTTAATTTACAGTGTAATTGACAGAAAATTAATAACAGATAGAAAATCTAAATATTATTAATAAACTCGAGTGTAGTAATTAATTTTTTTTTAAGAAACAGAAAAAACCTGCAGAAGATTTGCGACAACCAGCTCATGTTCTTCATAGTAGGGATTTAGGTAAAAAAACACTAATCATCATATAAAAATAAAAATTACATATTCTTGTAGAGCTCAACTATATGAAAACAAAACAAAAAAGATTTTCTGTCTAGCTCAAATAGTTTTTTTTTGGCGAATTTTTTTGTGAGGGGTGGAATCCCCTTGCTTTTGCATTGGCCAATTGTGACAAATCATGGTATACCTGAATAAATTGAGCATAGTTATTTTACTTGCAGTTGTATTTTGTTCATATTTGCAGAGTTTAACTAGAATGATATATAGAACTTGTAAATGCTGTTGAAATTAATAAAAATAATACAGAACTTATATTTTTGTGTTGGCTTCCTCCCATAACCCCAAAAAACTGTGTGCTGCGCAAATATGAAAATGTTTCTAAAGCCATATTTTATATAAATACAGCAAATGAAAGAACTACAAAGTTAGAAATCTAAAGTAAATGACTTGAACACTGTTATGTGCATATAATTGCCTCATTATTTTGGGCAGGTGAAGTAGAGTCCATCTTTAAGCCATTTTGTTATAAAACTGCTGCGCAAATATGAAAATGTTTCTAAAGCAATATTTTATATAAATACAGTGAATGAAAGAACTCCATAGTCAGAAATCTAAAGTAAATGACATGAACACTGTAATGTGTCTATAACTGCCTTGTTATTTTGGGCAGGTGAAGTAGAGTCCATACAAAAGCCATTTTGTAATAAGTGAAATGAAGTTATCAGATCAATGTTTTTATGTGTGAATTGTGTATGGATTCTGATTTTCAGCATATAACTATATCTAAGGGTAAGTAGAACTTGAATACTTAAAATTACAGTTAGCACAATGTTAGTGTATAGCAACAGACAGGTAACCTAGATCTAGATCTAGGTCTGACTCTTGTCAGTCTAGAGTCTAGTCTGACAAAATTGGATTTTTAGGAAAAACATATTCTAGAAAACTAGAACTAGAGCTGAAAAAATTAAAGATGGGTATGTAAATATATTTTGAAATAAAAAATTAGATTTGTTTGCACATGCCATAAGATTGCTGTTATTAGTGGACCAAACTTAAAGGCAGGAAGATCGGGATGAAAAAATATAACAATGGTGGCAGCGTGACCTACATACAGTGTCTACGTTCGGAGGGGTATAACTAATGTCGGAGTCAAAATATCCAAAAACAAATTTCATTTCCAATTACTTAAGATATGTCTGATCAGTAATCTACTCTCATCTAGAGGAATCTTTTAAAAAATCGAGATTCCAACGTATTTGAAACTAACCTTGATACAGGGGGAAGACCAAAGCAGAGACAGCATGCAATCAGGTCGCAAAGCCATTAAAACTAAGGGACAACCACTCTACTTTTTAATTAACCTTAGGAAATGACCTTTTAAACTTAATTAATTACCATAAATTAAAAACTTATTAGTATGCAAAACCAAATCTCGTGGGTCCGGTATCAGAAAGTAATGGGCGATTTCGGGTCATGTTTTTACCGCGAACTCGGCGGATGCCGACAACCCTATTCATAGTAAATAAGACGATTAGATTAACTAAAGTTAAAAGTAGTAAGAATAACTAGAATAATGTTTAGTAGCAGCAATAATTAGCACATACACTTAAAATAATTAGAAATACAAAATAATTAGCAAAACAGTATTTAAAATGCAACTAAAATCAATCCTTGCACATTTTTAAACATTATGTATTAAAAATAATATGGCGGCAAATAAATGATGGTTTACAGTATTTCCGGTGGTTTCCGGAACGGCTCGACAGACTACGCCATGGTTTTACTGTTTTTTACTGCTGTACAGTTCCGGAATAATAACCGACGCTATATCGTGATTTTACCCTTAATTTTATTTTTAAGATTTCAAGAATGAATCTAGATATAGATTCTAGTCTATCTAACGTTTAAAAAATACACTCTAATTTAAAGTTACAGTAAATTTGAGTTATAAAGCTTCCGAGCTTGGAATCTACGGTAATCTATCGTTTTGGGTACGTAAAATCGCCCGCAGCTATTTATGTACGAAAACGTTACCTCATTGTCAAGGCTTTAATAGAAGTTTATTGTCATACTTTTGTGTCAAATATTATAGATAAATGAATAATAAACCTAAATCAATGGCTAAATATATCGATATAGGCCAGAAATTAACTTTAAACAGCAGTGTCTGAGAGCAAGATTTGCTATATAAACAGGAGCCATTTGTAAAATAGAGTGGCTTCCCCCTGAATCTGGCGCTAAAAGCTTTTAAAAATAAAACTTAGACAAGATGGCTGCTATAGTAAATGAGCATGGTTGCATCTGTTGGAAACATCGCTAGTCTTCATTTATTACGGAAAAGTTTTAATTCAATTGTTTAAAAACAGGTACATAAATGAATCAAGGAAACATTTTTGAATTTTTTAAAACATAAATCCTACTCAAAATGTGAAATAATTATTAAAATTTAAGGAGTCACCTGTTTTTCACATTACAAATCGCGGGCGATTTTACGTACCCAAAACGATAGATTACCGAATCTACTTTCGCCCAGTCTAACAACTAGCCACACTCTCTACTGTCTCTACTCTAGATCTAGCTACTAGAGTCTAGAATAGTTACTAAGTTAGGCACTAGCTCTCACTAGCAGCAGTCGAGCTGCTAGATTTAGATGTAGAATATAGATTTAGAATCTAGATTCTAAAGAAAGAGTAAGACAGCAGACTAGGAAGTCTAGATCTAGTTTCTAAAATTCTAGCCCCCTAACTAACCTAAACAACACTGATCGTAATCAGATCTAGATCTATTCTACTTCTTTATTAGTTCCAGACTAGATTCAAGAAGATTAAGAATATCTAACTCTCGATCTAGATTCTAGTAGAATTTAGCTAGTCTCTAGACTAAAAACTGTAGATCAGATCTAAAATTTAATATTCTAAAGTAGCGTAGATCTAGTAGTGTAGATCTTGTCTAGTTCTAACTAAATTACTAAACTATAGGCCTAGATCTACTTTAAATTCAATCTAGATTCTGGGTTCAGTAAACTAGTTTTAGTTTAAAATCTGTCTTAAAGTCTAAACTCAGCACGGCCAGCATTTACTTTGTTAGGTTAATTAGGCCTAGGGTCTAATATTATTAATAAATAGCCTAGGCCTAATAGTTTGGCTAAATTTTACCTTTTGGTTTTACATTTAACGTGTAGTTGTTGTAGTTAAGTTAGGATTCATCAGCATAATGCAGCATATTAAAAAAAATTTGGCCATAGGCCTATCTATTTCAAGTACAGTACATTGTAACCTGACCTAAGAGAAAAATCTATAAGTAATAAACACTAGGTTTAACAAATAATACAGGCCTGGAGTTTAGACCTAAATCAGTATCAGTAGACCTAGTAAGAAAATTGGCCGATGCTAGCCGGAAAAAGATATTCATGCGCAATGGAGAGAAACTGCGACTCACCATCGCGGCTATGTCTTCGATGGTACTGCACATGCGTGTGTTTACAACCGCAGAACCTTAACACCAACCCTAATCCTATCCCTAACCTTAATTCCAGCCCTAACCCTAGCCATAGGTCACTGCGCATGCGCAGAGCTATCTTTTGCCGACTAAGTGGAGACGGGGAGAAAAATCTTCCGAGTAGTCACTTCGAAGAAAATGACCTTTGTTTTGATGTTTTATTGATCTTTTCTCTAACTAATGATAACTAATCTAATAACTTCTTTTCAAGATTAAAAAAGAGTCATAGACCCACCTTTCTCATTCAGTGAACTGCAACTGAGGTAAAGTACACATCATAGGTTTTGTAGAACTTTTAGGCTTAAGTTTTTGAAATATTTATTTCGCAGCAGTTGCGCAGATCGCTCAGCAGAACCCTAAATCTTTTCTCTAGGTTGTACGCGAACTAAAAATAGATATCAGGACTGTCCAATTTTGTTTCATCTAAGCAATTCAATGTTGACATAGATTGTTTTATTTCAACACCTAAGGAAGGCACTGGTTAAAAAGAAATAATAGAATTCAGATCTAGAACTTGTAAAAAGACAGTACATTGTTAGTAGTAGGTCAGATGATAGTCCTAGATCTAACTAGATCAAACTGATCTTCAGTAAATTGTATATAAACCTATGTGAACTTAAAAAAATGACCAGAAGTAGGTCTGTCAAATTTGCTTGTAAGGGGGGGGGGGAAGAGAAGTAAAGACACAGATCTCAAACAGATCTTGTGTTCATTCTATGATGTATGCTACAGGCCTGCTGAACTCAGTGACCCCTGCCGACTGTGGTGGTATTTTTCGCCCACCGGATAGGAAACGTAAGCAAACAATCACATGAGCGACAATGTATAGAAATTTTACTATTAAAAAAATAAATCTCACATGACGTTTTCCTGGGCCATCAACTTAATCTGCCACACGGTTGACTCTACCACACCTAAAGGAAATATTAAGCATTTTCAATCAGAAGTTGGCAAATCCCATAGGAAATAAACACTGCTTCATTTTGTTACTGCAGGTTGAAATATATCGTAATTCCAAACATAATATAGCCTATTAACTTATTATAAGCAGTAGTTATACTGGACCTGAATTTATATATGAGTTTATTAGTTATATATGCATATGGTATTGAATGATTTTCCCGATACCAATTTTTAGAATGCGTCCAATGGAATTAAAAGAATTACTCGGAACAGTTGGCGATCTGCGTAGTAACTTAGTATTTATTTTTCAGGCTTGGACACTAGGCCTATATTTTAAACCAGTAAGGACATGACTAAATTTGGAAAATTAAAAACGGCCAATTAAAGAGCATTTACCCATACACAATTCTAGGCTCTATTTATTTTAGCAAGACCTATATTTCAATTAACAGACTCATATTTCTACAATTTTTATCATTGTTTGCAGCTATGAAACTATTTTTTCTTTCTCTCTATCCTACTTGTAGACTGTAAAATGAAGAAATACAATTTGCTTATTTCTAAAATTTCTGTTACTTTATCTTTTACTCCTGCAGTTACACATCCTGCTTTGAACAATATGTCGTAGTGCTTAGCATCCTGGCTACTTATTAAGCTATATAACTTACTATTGACTGCTATTGGAAACAATGGACAGCAATCATTTTTCTCCTTATGGGACAGGGTTAACGCCTCAACCACAGTTACAGGTAGGTTTTAAATTATTACATTTTTAAAGTTATAGAAGTGTCCGTTCCCAGTTGACTAGGAATAGCTTTTAGGCCAGACCTGGGCTATCCTAAAAATAGCCAAAATGAATATGGTGCAGTGTTAATAATAATCTGTATGCCCCAGTTCAGAACCTATTAGGTCCTATTAAATAATTTGCTTGATTATGGGATCAAATGAATGTCTTGCCGTTATTTGTCTGGGTGACTTTACCTTTCTAGTAGCATCAAAACCTAGTGTAAGCTTTAAAAAGCCTATTTTTTTCTTCTCATTTGCTTTTGCAACTTGATCACATGCTGTTTTACCACCTTATCATTTTGAATCACATTGTTAGCCAACAGGGAATGGGCATGTCACTTATAATATAACTGTCAGAACTATTCCCAGCTAAATGGAAACTAAATTGTTAACGTCAGATTTTACCTGTGATTGGCTTTAAACTAATTAGTACAACTGCACTGAGGCTGATAATGCTATTTAATTGTATTCATATAGTGGCCTCGTGTCTAATTTTTTATGCTATGTTTAGTAACAAGTTATTGATACATTGATTTACTCTTTAAGAAACTTCATTTTGTTTCTTGTTTACAGAGTCCATTGCTCTCCCCTGGCATGGGCTTTAATCCTGTTCTCCCACCATCCAATGCCAGCTTGTACAACCCAGCAACCCCCAACCCTGGGGGACCAATGACACCTTTCTCTCCTGCTACTCCAGCCTCAGAGGGAACATCAGGCATCAAACCACAGCTGCAGTGAGCACAATTTCCTTGTTATAAAGATGTCATTGGTTATAGTTTATCCTGAATGAAAAATAGTAAATTACACTTAAACCCCGTTTTGTATTTCTGTAGCTACATAGAATAAGCATATTCATTGCTCATATTAATGTAGCAGTTATTTTTGCAATTCGTTATTTTTCAGAAATATTGTATGTACTGTGAATTTGGCTTGTAAACTGGACCTGAAAACAATTGCTTTGAGAGCTAGGAATGCAGAATACAATCCCAAGCGCTTTGCCGCTGTCATCATGCGTATAAGAGACCCTCGCACAACTGCCCTGATATTTAGTTCTGGAAAAATGGTTTGCACAGGAGCTAAAAGGTAGTTAGTTTATATTAAATTTTAAAATTATCATATTCTAGACAATTTTTGCTTTGTATCTTTTTTTACTAGTACCTTGCTTTTTTTAAGTTTCTTTGAGCTTTAGGTGTTTTCATCAATTTTATCTGCATTAAATAAGTGAACTTTAAAAAACTAGCAAATTTTAGCCTAATAAACTACACAACTTTCATTGTAGTGAAGATCAGGCAAAACTAGCAGCAAGAAAGTATGCCAGGATTGTTCAAAAACTTGGGTTTCCGGTGAGTTAGACATGTAAATTTTTTTAAAGTAGGTAGTCCAAACTGAAATTAACTATAAATCAGACATCTTTAGCATTTCTCCTGATAGAGACTGATGCGAGACCAGTTTTTAAAAAAAATATCCTAAAAATTTAAAAGGTTTCAAATAAGCTGAAAATAGGGCATCTAATTTTCAAGATCCAATATTTTCTGGGATATTTAAAACATAGAAGTTATTTGCTTCAAAATATAAAATATCTCAGTCCATCTTCATAAAAAGTGCATACAAAAAACATCAGGTACCATAGTAAATAAAAATTTAAACATAACATGCTCTTTAGCATCAAGAAACATTTACAGGTAGTAACACAGGCACAAAAATACCAACCACACGATAATGTATACAATATGCCTAACATATTAATGGTTAGAAGGTCAATGATATAGTAGACTTTAAATGTTTATACAATTTGTTACGAGTGACAACTAAATAAATTAAATGTTTCTATTTACCTTTTTGTTACTCATATTAAGTGGAAAATATTTTCACATTTTGCTTTTATAAATACTAAAATTTGAGTGAAAATGTAGTCCCATCAAAAATCTTATTAATCACTTTATCATAAGCTGTAATGATACAAACTTAAAATGTTTGTATTCTCAAACAACCTATTTATATAGTGTACTTCATGTCTGACAACTCATAAAATAATATTTTTTTTAATCCAACATGTACAAAAAACAGCACAAAAGCTATTTTGTGAGATATAGATTTCAACTTTATACTCATAAATTTTGTTAGTGTAGCACTACTTGAGGATTTTTTATTTTTAAAATCTCCCAAAATACATTTTCTTCACTTTGAATGACCTACTTTAAATGTATTTGTGTATTAGTATATTCTTCCACTTATAACAAAACATTTATCACTCTAATGGATCAGTAATATTGTCACAAAATCAATGTATTGAAGACTTTCAACTTGCTGAAGTATTAAATACTTTTAACTTGCTAAAAACCAAATTTTAGGCCAAGTTTCAAGATTTTAAAATTCAAAACATGGTGGGCAGTTGTGATGTCAAGTTTCCTATACGACTGGAAGGGCTAGTTTTAACTCATGCTCAGTTTTCAAGGTAAATTAATTTTCTGAAGTTTTAAACTGAAATGTTATATTAATCAATCAAAATTATATTGTGGTATGCTAATTAGTTCCACTAAAAAATTATTAATTCTACAAACCTAGATTTCTTTCACTTTCTGTTAGTGTTGTAGAAGATGGCTAATAATTTTTTTTACCTCGGCAGTTATGAGCCAGAACTTTTCCCTGGTCTCATCTATCGGATGGTCAAGCCTAGGATTGTTCTACTCATTTTTGTTTCTGGCAAAGTTGTTTTAACAGGTAAAGACGTTTTATAATTTTTGGACAGTTTTTTTTTTAAATTTTTTAAATTCTGCTCTAAAAAATATTCATAGCACAATTTGATTGCTGTCATTGGTGCAGACATGATCCTGTTATAGAGGGGCTCAAATTTTGTTTATTAATATATTCTAGATTGATTTTAATTATATAAAGTTGTCGTTTGATGACATTCAAAATTTTCAAATTGTGACACAGGCAGGCCTTAGATGATACAAATCCATTGAAAATGGGTTCTACCCATCCGCCCCCTCCTCAACAATCCTGTCTACACTACTGGTTAAGATAAATATCAAAGCTATTAACTAACACTAAATTCAGTTTCTGCCTATTATTTAATTGTCTTTTTCTTTTCTGCTGTTTAGGTGCCAAAGTAAGATCTGAAATTTATGATGCCTTTGAAAACATTTACCCAATTTTGAAAGGCTTTCGAAAACAATGACACAGTTTGTTTTATCTGCTGACATTCATGTTGTAAATTATGCTGTATTTTTATGTAAGATAAGAGAAAAAATGTATAACTGAGTTACAATGCAGCATTTTGCATGATTTTTGTTTGACATGTTAAAGATATTTTTACTTTGCCCTTTTGCTTAAAAAGCTTCCATCAACCATTATTAAAACTAAGGTAGTGTTATATTCCCCTCATTGACATTTTATTTCTTTGTACATTAGTTTTTATTCATGAATACTACATTGGTAGTGTTCTGTTGGTTTGCCATGTATTTATTGAAATAGTGTTTTTTTAATGTTCACAAATTATGTAAATATTTATCTGAGCTCTAAAAGTGGACCCACTAAATGAGCCATGTTCATTTTTTTCAATTTTGTATTACTTGTCAAAGATTGTTGCACAATAAAGTTATGACTTGTTAATTTGTGTTTGTACAATATTTAAATATGGGTTATGAAAGGATGCAGGTTTTAAACTTGTTCACTTTTAAGTCACATGCACCTAAGGGCCTTAATAGTATTTTGCACAGGTGTGAAAGATAAACTTGATAAGAATGCAGCACCAAGGTGGAAGGAAATGACATGTAATTATAACCGCAGATTAAAAATCAAACTGTGGTAAACAAATATTTGATTTATTTAACTACTTACAACATGTAATACAATTAATTGTACAATTTTTGAAAGAATTAGATCAGTTTTACGCAAGGAATAGACTCAATGTTTGAGCTTATTGTGGTCATCAATTTTTGGGAGGTGACGCAAAAGTTTTGAGACTCCAGGCAGTCCATGCAGTAGCAACCAGTACAAGGGCTGCAGCAGTAAAATATAAGGGCTTGTCAACTGGCAGTTTTTGCCACACAAGTTTACCATCGCTGATCTGAAAATATTGAATGAATAATGTTACATCATTTCTATTTACTACATAAAAAGTACCATATTCACCTCATGGAAATTAACAAATTACTTGGTTAACCTAGTCACAAACATTAACTATAAAGCTACCCAATGATATTTAAAAAAAAATTCTTTTCTACAGAAGTTGGCATTTTGAAATTCTACACATAATGGAGATTCTCTGATCTTGCAATTCTAACAAATAAATATTAAAACAGGACAATGCTGTGAATTTTAGTGGTATATAGACAGATTTCATGGTAAGAAATGAAAATAACCACCAATCAGCAGTTGTGACATGTGGAGTAGACAACTGGATGTGTTAGTTGTTGGAAACAAGGTCAGTTTAGATGGCTGTTTTTAAAACTAGAAAAGTGTCAACATGTTTATCTTTAGGTATCTATAAAGAAAGAAATATACAATAGGGTGACAAGAACAGTAATAAAACAAATATAAAAAAACCTTTCTAATAGCAAGATTTGGTTACGCATGAGATGAGATCTTTTACATATTTCAGCAACCAATGCTTTTATGAAAGAAAGCAAATTAGTTTTATTTTCTTATTGTCCGTGCATTTAAAAGCATGCTATTTAGAAAGTTTTTTTTTATATTTATTTTCTACTTTTTTGTAATTCATAATCTATATCTACCAATGCTGCAACTATAAATATTTGCTGTAAAAACCATCAGTAGCTTGTGAAAGATTAATATTTCCCCCCCCCCTGTGAAATCAGCCATCCGTTATGACATTTTACAGACGATGGAAACCACATAAAGTAGATCTTGTTACCTCCCCTTAGTTTCAAATCATTTATAAACTATATTATCTGCCCCAATAGCCTTCACTAGATCAACCAGCTCTACGATTGTTAACATTCTCATAAACCACAACCCTCCAGACTCCTATCTCCCCTTCTATTAATGAATATAGTTATCTATTGAATGTTTTAATTTTGTTATCTCTCTTTAGTTTGGAAACCATTTGATTAATTTTAATGACTTATTTCTAATTAAATAAAAAAATAGACTTGTATTGTCATCAAAGTGGAACGTATCTGGAAAGTTTGAACGAAATCGCTGCAGTGGAAGTGTGTCAAAACTGAGTTACAAGATTTGTCACAAGCCCACAAAGAAACTAACTAAATAAAAGCTTGTAAAAAGTAAGAAAAATAACCAGCCTTTTTACAACCAGTGGGATGAACTCCATTTCACAGCCTGGCAGGGAAGATTATTCCACTTATACCATGTCAGTGAAACAGCAATTGTGCACCACTATGCTAGGGGCCAAAGATCTAAGTGGTTGTATAGAAGAACAATTTTTCAACTGTCTAAACAACAGAGCATAAGTGATCTTACTAAAAACTTTGTCTGCCTTTCCATAAACGTCTTGTAGTTTTTCGTACTGGGAACTGGGTATTCTCCAGGTCTTAGGTTTGACACAGATGACTGGGCTCTCGTTGGTTGTAAATCTGTCTTGAAGTCATAAAAAACCTTGGATACCTCTGTTGGAGCCTGTTTTCCAGAAAGAAACTGAAAGTAAAAGATTTAGTTAAAATAATTACCAGTAGGACCTATATAAAACTGTATGAGGAATAAGTATAAAATTGTTAAAGAAAAATATTTAAGAAGACTATCATTTGAATAAAAAATCAAACAATATAAAATAAAAGTTTATACTTTCCTGTCTAGTTCCATCCCCCCCCCCCCCCCCCCCCCCCCTGAAGAGATGCCTGGAAGAAACTCTGGTTGGTATAAGTATAAGATTGGATAAAATTTCTCCCAAAAATGTCAACATATTACTGTACTTATATCAATATTACTTTTTATTATGCCCACAGCTCATCATTCATTAGATTAAAGAAATTTCCAATAAATTGGGGCATACTGTTACAAGTAGTGACATTTTATCAGATATTGATATCAATAAATAGTTTACTAAAAACAGTAACACACTAAATAGGCTGAATTATCATTTTTTTAAAATTAATACTTTTGTTAATTTTTAAAAACAAAACAATCTGTTTTTGAAATTATTATGTATTGCAATTAGTTAATATCCTCTTAATTGCAAAAAAAGATTTAGGCAGATATTTGGCATGCTCTATACATTGAGACTATAACCCTTGTTGAAATTGTAACTCTGATTTTATGTGAGCCCCCATAATAGGCAACAAGTCTGTAAGATTATGCTGTTATGCCACTGTTATGGTAATGTTAAGTTAGCCTGGGGGGGGGGGGGGGGGTGATGACAACTGAACTAGGGCATTATATATGGCTATGTTGTTTTCCGGCTTTCAGCCAACTTAAAATTGCAGAATTATGAAAGTACCAAATCGTGTTTTAGGTTATAGGAATATAGACTATAAAATAAACTATAATAATATTATTAATATTGAGTAGATCTATACTCTATACTATCTAGGCCCTATATTAATATTATACTAGAGTCTAGAATCTAGATTATACAGATCTAATACGTCCACAAACCCGTCCTGACCCACACAACCAATTGGTTGAAAAAATCTGGTCGTATGATTGTTTTGTTTATTGTACTAGATCTAATATTCTAATAATATTATTATTTCTGTACTCTGTACCTGGGGTGTGATCGGTTGTCCTGTTGAGACATCCTGGGAAGCAGCGTTTAAATTTTGCGATATGCTATTAAACTTGTAGAAAATAGTCATTGTTGGAAAGTCTAAGGATAGTCACTAACAATTTTAAAAGTAATTAAATCTATGTTTAGCGAAATGTTTTCCAAATGTTTTCCAGTCAACAGAACAGCACTGAGACTGACATGCCCTACTATCGCAAGGACAAGTTGTTATGCGTGTAGATTGATCTCCCTTCGATAATTAGATATTTTTAGTGGACGGTAATTCCCGATAAATGTTGAATGAGGAAAAATTAGCTGATGCTTTTCTACAGGCCTAGGTTACAATTCATAACTATCGATTCCGTGATAATCTTCAATCATACAGAAATCTTCAGATTATTAAAAAAAAACAACAACAATAAGCTGCTATATTTAGATTTACTTAAGACAGTGGCGTAGGCGTAGCCAGGATCGTCTCAAGGGGGGGGGGGGGGGGTCCAATTTTTATTCGGAGACAAGCTTTCGATTTGCACCCCCCCCTCAGTCTTTTGATTTGCACCCCCCTCAATCAAGCTTTCGATTTGCAGCCCCCCCCTCAAGCTTTCGATTTGCACACACCCCCCCCCCCCCTCAGACTTTTGATTTGCACCCCCTCTCAAACTTTCGATTTGCACCCCCCCCCCTCATACTTTATATATATATATATACACCGAGGGGTCTATGGGGGGGGGGTTATGACCCCCCTAACCCCCCCCCCTGCCTACGCCACTGACTTAAGACCACAGTTACAGTAGACCTTATAGAATATACTCAATATAGGTCATAGGTCAAAACACCTGTGGTCAAAGCACCTAGATCTAGATTCTAGGACCAGTTTATATCTATATCACCATGTGATATGAATCATACGAAACAAGAAACTATGATATCTTACACATTTACCTTTTAGTTTTAGAACCTGATGGACTGATGGTCGATGGGGCAGGTCAAGTAGAGTTCATCTGTCAGCGCTATGCCCACAAATGACATCATGCTTTTTGGACAATTTTACCACCCCATATCGTCACAAAAAGCCATACCGCCCTCCTCTAAAATGACATCACGCCTCCAATTGCAACTTAGAGACCCTATTTATATGTCTCATATTAGATGTGCTGGGTCAAAATGAAATATACTATATTTATTTTAATTTAAAAAAAAAACCCCAGAAAATTCGAAAGAAAAAAAAAACAATCCTGCATATATTCAGTTTATTTTCTTTAAAAATGCCATGGTATGGAGTAGCTCTTTTTTAGCTAAATTTCCTTACAGGAATTGCGATTATTAACTCGTCATTTCTGGATGGATGTGTGTCCGCAGCTTTAAGTCGTATCTCCTCCTCAACGAAGCAATATCGAGGACTAGTTCCAAAAGCAAATATGTTAAGCAAGTTCCGAGGAGGATTGTGGGATAAAAAAATTCCCGGAATTCCTTCCTGGATTTCCCGGAAAAGCAAAAAAAAACCCTCGAAAAAAAGCAGTTTTTGGCCCATATCTCGGCAACCAGACCACTTAGCGACTTGAAACATTTACCAATCGATTCCTGTCATAATTTAGAACAATTTTGCCGAAGAAAGTTTTCAAAAATATCCTTTCGTTCGGTCACAAAGAATTAATTACGGAAATTGCGCTTAAATTGTCACTAGACTTTTTATTAACTTGTTTTTATAATGATGTACATTAAAAAGAAAAACAGGACTCCCCCCCCCTTTCTGATCGTGATATTGGGCAAATATTGACCCCAAATAGGCCTTATACATTTATAGATTTTGAGTATATTACTTATTAGGTCTAAATATATAGATCTAGTATACAATTCTTTGAAATCCTGTTTCTATTAGACATCTATTGAAGAGACGAAATACAAAAAAAATATTTAATCTAGATCTATATAGAAAATATATAGATCAACTAATGTAGTAATGTCCACACCCCAAAAATTTCAAATGCTCCCCCACCCCCCGAAGAAAAATGTCTGAAAGAAACACTGCATGAGCTGTAGCCTACGTCACACAAACCGCTAGCTCACTGTGAATCAGATAAGCTGTTGTGTAAAGCCACATCGCCCACGTAACGATCAATGCACCCGATTTCTTTTTGTTCCGGGTGACCAACCTCAGCGTAATCGTTAGGCTAGTGTGAAGTGTGATTTCTTGACACGATCAGACCTATCTGATGTTAGTAGTAATCGATTAGATATTAACAACAATCGTTTTTCAATAGTAAAATCATGACATAACATGATAACTTGAGCCTCATAAACGTCTTTGTCTTTCAAGTCAATGCCCAATGCCCAACTTCTAGTGACCAATTGTCGTAAACCTTATAAGCCTAAACTAATTCTAACATTAATACTAGAGGTATCAAAAGCAAACACGACATTATTGTTTTCTTACATCACAAAATATAACAATTTAATAAACCCTTTATAATATTATTTTCTCTAAATGCTCTTTCTAATTTTTATACCTTTTTAAAATGAAACCATAACATAAACCTCGATTACCAGTATCGATATTAATAGTTTTAGCGGAAGTGTACATGTTGTTGCCATCGTTGCTATGCGAGGTTGAGACGAGGGAATAATATTTGTTGTGATTGTCGCTAGTAAATGGTACAGTTTTCTAATATTTTGTGTATTCTAAATTAGTTTCGAAATGAGTTACATAAATTTAGGCAGAGACCTCAATGGTCTACCAGCGATAAATTCTGCACGAAGAATTAAAGCTTTAGAAGAAGAACTGCAATGGTACAAACAAAAAGAAACTGGTGGAACAAGTGGACGCATGACGCCGGTGGGCATTCTAAAGTATGACAGTAAATATGATGGAAACGATACACGAAGACAAGTGGTGGAGGTAAACAAGTTTATAATTTAAATTCAATATGTTACTTAGTAATACTTAGAGTTAGGGGCTCTTACAAGTATAATAATAAAAATTGTAAATGTAACAAAACTAACAAGTCAAGTAGGCCTAACAAATAGGGCCTACAATATTTATTATTTATTAAGTTTAGCTAGAAATCTGTTTGTTTAATATTGTATAGGCCTATAAATAAGTTAAAGAAATACCAGGGCCTAATCTTAGTTCTATCTTATAAATAAATTATTAATAATAATTGATAACTTATGAGATAAAAAAAGTCAATCAGATAGTTTCGTATGAAATTTAAACCTTTAATTTTAGATATGGTTATGGTAAATAAACGCTGTTTAAGATTTTTGTAGGCAAATATGTCATTTAACTTTGGTGTCATAATTTATAGCTACAAGACCAGTTGAAATCTTTCCGTGAGGAACTAAAGAAGAAGGATTCTTTAATACAACATTTAGTCAGCCTTGACTCAGCTCCCAAAGTTCCAAGAGCACCAGATTCATACAGAGTGAGTAGGAGTTACATATTCACCAGCTTGAGCCAAAGAATTTATTTTTCTTGATACCTTTTTTTGTTACCATATTGGTTGTAGCTTCATATTTATAAACAATACTTTTTCAATAACATCACAATATGTACATTCATGTGTTATGTACACATTCACTCAATTTTCATGGATGTGGTCAACAGCTTGACAGCCTTTATCTTGGAGAAAGGTCAGCAGTGGACATGACTAGAAGTGAGCTTGCAGCATTGCAAGTTAAACATGAAAGAGCGCAAGCACAAGTACGAAACTTGTTTTAATTATTATAGTATTAATTATGTTATTCTCTTAAAAATTGTGTGCCTTATATTTATAGAACAAGACTGGCACAGAAACACTTATTTATAAACTTAATATAAAACTGAAAGCAAAATGTATTTTATAAACCTTATAGATCCGAGACCTCCAGGTAGAAATGGAAGCTAAAGACATTAAAATCAAAGAACTCCAGAATCTACTTGACGCAAATAGGGATTCAGAATCTCGCCTTAGTAACATGGTCACATCATTGCGAGAAAAGCTGGGAGAATATGAATCTAGGGCAGGGTCATTTGAAACAGTTGCCAACAGAGGAGAGTTTACGATATCAGCACTACAGCGGGAGAATAGGGAGCTCAGTGATAAAATTGTGGAACTTGAGCAAAGACTGAGGTTTGTTTATTGTTGTACACACTAAAAACAGCACAAATAATAGACAAAAAAATAACCCAGTAATTGTTATAAAATAGTAAATATCTTTGCGTTTTTTTCTCATTGTTAACTATTGAATAAAACTTAAATTGTGTGGGAAATGAAAAATTGGATCCTTGTAAAAGTGATTTAATGTAGTTAATTTTAAATTTGTGTGCATTTTAACAGAAAATCTCTAGAAGATCGAGATCAAGCAGATTCCAAATTAATTAGTGAGAGTAGAAGACTTAACGAGCTTCTGAGTCAGATAGGCAGCATGCTGTACACAGATGACGTAATTGACACATCGTCTTCTTCTATTGATGTTGTTGTTAGAAAGGTAGTCACATATAATATACTTGTTTCATTTCATTTTCATCTCAAATATTTTAGTTTGTTGACTCATTGCTTACAATCAAATATTCAGAATGTTAGATACATGTTTTATATTTTCAATGGATTCTACCATGAAATAATTGCATGTATTTTTTTGTTAATGTAAACACTAGAAGTGTAAGTTGGCAGCATGAAAAATGTATTTGTTATTTAATAAATGTATGGTTTCAGACTCACTTAGGTTAGTAACCATGTAATTAATTTTCTTTACAAAGTTGAATGACCTGATACAAGAGAATGCTATGCTGAAGGGAAAAATTTTAACAATGAATGAACACTTGAATGAAACACAACTGGAAACCAAGGCTAGTAGAGAAACCATCATGAGGCTGGTCTCAGAGGTTGGCCGCGAGCAGAAGGTGGCCACCAGGTACACATCAGACATCGAGCACCTCAGACAGGTCAGTCCTGGTTATCTTACGTGGAAATACATTTTAAAAATATACTTGAAGTTTTAAAATGTATTCAAATTTTTAAAATTAAATCAAATTAATTAATAAATTTGTTTAAACTCAGGAACGGGACAATGCCATGGCTGCAAGAAAGGACCTGGAGCGTGAGATTGAGTTGTTGAAAGAAAGACTTGATGCCAGCCATAGAGCTCTTGACGCCACCAAAAACGAGCTGCAGCTGAAAGAAAGTCGCTTCCACAGCCTTGACCGCAATTACCGTGAAACTGCCCACACTGTGAAGACAGCGAGCACCCAGTTTGACCTGTTCAGGGAACAGATAGCCAACCTCCTCAGTACATCATACAACAACATTGTCCCATCTGAGGAGTGTATCAAGGAAACAGTCAGAAGACTGGCAACTGAAAGAAAAGAACTGGGTCTGGTGAGTTTATACAAAAATAGGAAGAATATATTTAATGTCTAGAAAGTAAATAGATCACTATTTTTTTTCCATGAAAATATCAGGATCATAACTATATTTATACAAACTTACATATGGGAACTTAACATTATATTGTATTGTATTTTATTAGCATATAAACTTAAATTGTTTTTAGCGCCAAGAAGAATATGAGAGCCGCATCAAGAATCTTTCTGAGCAACTGGACCATGAATTGAGCATTCACAGGGACATGGCCCAAAGGGCGAAGAGGTTTGAAGTGGAAGCAGCAGATCTGGCCGAGAGGCTCCGAAGTGCTGAGGGTGAGCTGGCGGCTGGCGACTGCCTCAGGGACGGCTTCAAGTTTGACAAGGAAAAAGTAAGTATCATGTGACACAGCATTCAGTGCAAATAAGTACAGATGGTCTTGTGTTTAAGTATCACATGGATCGAGCTTTCAGTGGAAAGTGATACTGATTGTCTTGTGTTTTACAAGTTGTTTTATAAATAGAATGTAATGCAACTGGCTTATTTCTAATACTTGTGTTTCATTTTAAAAAAATTATGTAGCTGATGAAATTTATTTATTAATAGTACCTCAGAGGTCTACAAAAACTTGGGGAAATTATGAAGATGGATCGCATTTCTCTAGACCTTGGCCTTGACCTAACAATGGATGCCCTGATAGCACGTGCTGAGCAGCTGATGAAGCTTGAAGCAGACGCTCTGGCTGATAAATCAACTCATGTTTACAATCTACAGCGAAAGGTAGTCAAGTTATTCCACACCTGAGCTTTCTTAGCCTACTCCCATTGAAACATTGACTTTTTTTTTAGATAGAAAACTTACTTGATTTTTTGTATTCTAGGTCAAATCTCTGAAAGAACAGTTAGAAAGCAAAGACTTACATATTGACTTGTTGCGTAAGAAAATGACCAACTTAGAAGAGAGGGTTCATGGACGTGTAGACTTTGAGAAACAGCGTGAGTCTGAGAGCATTCGTGTCCAGAAACTGGAAAAACTGGTTGAGAAATACAAGCTCCAGCTGCAAGACTCACGGCATGAGGTTCAAAACCTCAAGGCTCAACTGCTGGGCTCTGGTGAACTCAAGGTCAGTGACCTTTGAACTTTTCTTATCAATCAGTAAACTAATTAATTGTTGTTTTTTCTGTAACATTTTAGTGTCACTGCCGTACAATTTTTATTATCAAGAAAGAGTATATGATCAGTTTGTTCAAGATGCAGTTGTTATTTTAAAACTTTTTTCTTCAACTAGGTAAGGACTCTAGAGCAACAAAAAGATATTCAAGAGCTGGCGCGTCAAATTGACGAGTTAGAAGAGGTTCGCAAGCGCCAATCAAAGAAAATTTCAGAACTGAAATCTTCAGTTGACACTAATGAATTAACACTCCAAGAAAAACGAGTTGCATCAGAAAATGCGGTGCAGGCACTCAGTAGTGAGCTGCGAACCACCAAGAATGCACTGGATAATCTTAAATACAGAGAAAAACAGGTTCGTTGGGGGTTTATGTTTAACTTGTGTAACTTTGGAAAAAATTGTAGCAATTATTTAAAAAAAAAATTCTTACTGATTTATAAACTTTTAGTCAATACATTTTAAAATACCATTTACATTTGGATACATACAAAAAGAATAAACAATAAAAGTTTCAACGATTGAAATAAAAAGTGCAAACAAAACATCATTTCCCCTCTTTAGCTTACAAAACTATTCAAGTCTGATTAAACTGTTATGGTGCCTTTAAATTAAAACACACATTTTCCCCTCTCATTACCAACTGAACTGTCACCTTTAAACTTTTGATGCATATTGTTCCAGTTGATTGATTTCCGAACTGTTGTGGCACGTATGCTTGGCCTTGACATCAACACACTGGCCGTCCCTGATTATGAAATCATCACTCGCCTAGAAAAGCTGATCCAGGCCCACCACACGACTGCCTTCACCACCTTGTCCTTGGAGGAGGCCCTCCAGGACGTGGAGGATGGAACAGCCCCACAGTACCGGCACATTCTGGAAGCCACAGATCCTGTTATAGCCAGATCTAGGGAAAGGTCGCGGAGGAAAGCAGCAAAGTTGAGAACCAGAGCTCGGTCGGTGTCCCCCATGAGGCGAGATCCACGAGTCTATTAAACCTTAATTTTCTTTAGGACTGCACTCCAAGTTTTGTTTTGTTGACACTGAGACCAAAACATAACTCTTACAACAGAAATAGCACAATAATTGTTATAGATTATTTCCCTTTGTTTTTAAAAAAGGGACGTAATCTCTCTTTTATTAAATCAATATACAAACTTTTTACAATCAATTTTGGTAAATCATCGAAAGAAAGGCTGTCATAATTTGAACAAAACAAAACATGCTCTGTATTCTAATTCAAGCATGATGTAGTCTTAAATCTAATACATTTTATTAACAATTTTTTATTTATCTTATCTTATAGTAAAGTAGAATCAAATAACTGTATCAGATGAAAATTTTAAGTTACAACAAAATATAGCCATGCTGCCTTTTCATATTGAAGGCTTTAATTATAAGAGTTTTGCCTTAAAATACAGCCAAATTAAGTAGAATGATATACTATGTTATTAGTTTTTAATCAGTTTTTACCTATGATTAACCTAAACGAAGTTTTGAAACATTAAAATGTAGTAGACATAATAATATCATTTTGAGCAGGCTTGTCTGATGTGACAGAGCTATAAATAAATGTGTCTTACCTTAAAGCACTGGTCATTTAATTTTACCAAACAAACTGTGATAATACATTCATATATGTAACTTCATTTACAACTTTTAGCCACTCTATATTAATGGAATCAAAATTTACACCTTGAATTATTTATATTTTTTAATTTTGTTGCACTTACTTCATGCAGCAAATGAAGCATCCTATTTCTTTAGAGTATATGTTCTGTTTTATTCATCTACTGTACTGATGTATTTATGTTCCATTCATCTTCTGTATAGTGTATTCTTGTGTAGGGTGTATTATTTATGTTCTGTTGATCTTCTACACTTAATTATGTTCTATTGATTTTCTGTACAGATATATTGATTTTCTTCATATTTTGTATTGATCTGATTCCATTTAATTATTTTTAATAAAAATATGTGAGGTTGATATAATTAATTAGAAACAAAATGACTACCTTAACAAAGCCTGTCATTTTTGTGAATGTCAGTTTTAACCCTTGAACTCAGGAACTTGAATATTTCTCAAACTATTTGCTTGAGTTGAGCTATTATCATATCATCAGGATATAATTTTAAAAGTTTTTAAATTCTTAGTTTTTAAAAAAAAATGTTTCAGGGTAAAAATAAGACGTATATTGTCCATCATTTCTGCAGTAATTTAATAAAGTGCCTGTATAATACAAATAAAATGAAAAACGTTTGGTGGTGGAATGTTTTGAGCCCAGCTAGTCCTATAAGCTGTTAGTTACTGGACAGTCTCAAGTTAAATATCTATAATATGTTCCCACTTTCATCTCAGTAAACTTAAGTATAACATGAAATTTAAAAGCTATATACACCGAAATACGTATTTATAAACAACTAAAATTGAATAATTTATTACACATAATTTGAAAGTAAATTGTTTTAAATGTATGAATTTTACATTCCAGTTAAGTAATTTTATTTTTTTACTGTATACATTTTACACACATGTATTTTTATCATCTGTATTCTTGCACTGCACAAAATTCATGTAATTTTTTTTTCTCAACTATTGGACTAATGCATATTTTAATTGACCAATGGCTCTTTTATCTTTACACTTAGACTAATGTATATCTAAAATGATCAATGGTTCTGTTTTCATTACAATTGTACTAATGTATACCTAAAATGATCAATGGCTTTTTTGTCCTAATGTTGGGAAATCATGACTGTCTATTTTAGGAACTGCGTGATTGGATTAAAAACTTGACAATGAAGAATGTAGAAAACAATATATTTACTGAATCAGTTTTGCCTAGCCCAGATTATTATCTGTGAGACCTGCACCAGCTGTGGGAAAACAATTGCTTACACCACAGACAGTGTTGCCAGATTTCATTGAACAAACAGGCCTATGACATATTACACAACACCAAACAGGCAAATGAAAGTTTGTCATGAATAGAAGTTTTAACTTGTTAAAGCACTAGATAAAACCAATATTGGAAGTTACAAATGCTAGCAGTATGACAGGACAGATTTGCATTTTATCTCTCGTGACCTCCTTAGTGCCAAAGCTACTGCATCATTGATTTGTTTCATTGAAAATTTAATTCAACTTTTTTATTAGTTATAATGCAAGCACTACATGTATCTTAAAAACCCTGCACATTTAACAACAAGGTTGTTTCTATAACAACTAATGTAAACAAGTCTTTATAATTCTTTCTTTCTTGTTTTTCGTTGAACTTCTATAAGAATAAAAAAAAATACGAAATAAGTGTAAAGAATACAAGATGAGGATTTTAAAGGGCAAATTGTTTTCTTGAATTTAATAAAACCTGTCTCTGTCTCAATAAGCACATACAGTTACAAAATAATTGTGTATGTAAAATGATCTTTATTATTTGCTGTTTATGTTTATGTATATACATATGTTATTATTATGCCACTATTGTAACACTTCAAATTCATTTTAGATCATAATACAGCAATGTTTCCATTATTTTAGTTTTAAATATTAAATAAAATATTACTTGGGCACTGTGTTGTGTATTCTAATGACCCCCCCCCCCCCCCCCTCAAGTTTAACACATTGGTTAGAGAGTGATTGTGGATGCTTCAGGAATGTGACCAACTTGGCCAGGTAGTTTACCATCTTCAGACTAGCCAAGTTTTAGTGCTCTAAACTGAATTGCTCAACCATTGTTTCTCAACTATAGCATTGTGTAATCGCTGTCACACAAAACATTATGGTAATGTAAAATGTCTAGGAGTGTACATATATAAAATAGTGATATGACATTTTTAACCCCCTCCACACAGTATATGACATAATAATTATGTTTGCCAACACCTGCTTTGTCATATAACAAATCCAGACAACCCCTCCCCCCCTACACACACACACAGGACAATGAACTACAAACAAAGTTGTTTAGGAAATTTGTATTAGCTATCACGTTTTATAATCACGTTTTAATATTATTAAATTAGTGTGCTGCTTAAAAAAATCTATTGAGATATTTTACGCATTGCGAGTTGTTGAGAAAACACATGGGAATGTTTTCGCGATTTAAAAAAGTTCAAATTTAGGACTTGCTTCGCCATGTAGCAGGTTGCGGTTTGACACACAGTTTCATAGCGTCTTAGCACCAAGATCCGTTGACCCAAAGCGCATCTGCCGGCGGTCGGGTGTCCCAGAACTTCCCTGGCTCGCCCGTTAGCACTATGGCGCCTACGATCGTTTTAAAGTGTGCCATACGCTAGGGACACGGCGGGCTACTCTAATCGTTAACTAAATCGAACCAGACGCGTCCGTCGGTGGCACAGCGGTCGTGTTACCTAGAGCTCCCCGGACTTCCCTGAGAACACTATGGCGCCTAAATGCATTTTAAAGAGTACTCTACTTAAGGGGGCACGGAGGGCCACTACATTCGTTGACTAAACCGAACCGGCGCCCCTGCGATAGTTTAACCCAGCGCCCCGCGAAGCCACTAACACCAATGCGGTCTTCGATGTATGTTCTAACTCACTATTATGAAGTGTGATAGCCTACACTCAAGGCTTTCATACAACAGTCCCTGGGCATCTGGGCGGTAGTGAGGACAAACCTGTACCCAACCTCTAGGATCTTTCAATGAAAGGCGCCAATAGTGTGATGGCTAATATATAATACGAGCCGACCCCCGGCGTATCATATGCCGCTATTTAGTTGTTTTATTTTCTACTTTTCAGTAATTCATAATTTGTGAATTCGACGGTACCAGTGCTGCTACAGAAAATGTTTGCTTTAAAACAGTATCAGTAGGTCGTTAAGGACGATACTACCCCCACCCTCCTTTTCCCCCAACCCCTACCCTACACTCCCCCTCCCCCCCCCCCCAGTGGCGGAACTAGAAAAAAAGGGCCACCCCGCAAAAAAATTCTGGGCCCATATATATATATATATATATATATATATATATATATATATATATATATATATATATATATATATATATATATATATATATATATATATATATATATATATATATATATATATATATATATATATATATATATATATATACAAACACATAACACAAACATTGGATACTCATTTCTGGCCTGATCGGGTATGAAAAAAAATTGTCTTTTTTTCAATATAAACAAATTACGACATGTCATGTGTGTGAGTGCATTAGTCTGATTTGAATTATTATTTTTTTTAGATTTAGAACTAGTTCTTTCTAAATGTTTACTGTAATACTGCCTAGTCTCTAGTTTTTTAGCCGGTAAAAAGAATATAAAACGTGAAAGCATTGTATGTGTAATGGTTTCCTGTGTTATGTTTATTTATATATATATATTTTTTTGTATTTATATTATTTTTGTTAAATATATTACCTTCTTATGTTATGTCATTCTTAGTATGTATTTTTTTAAAAATAATAATTAAGAAAGGAAATTACTTTTTAATTTGTTTAGTACAAATATATTAAAAGGAGCTTATGGGCACCCCTATTTAACTATTTAAAAAAAGGGAAATAAGTCATTGAACTGTTTTGAACGTTTGTCTATCTTACACACTACAGCTCAGGCATATATTTTTTTTACGCAACAGCATGTGTTAGCTACTGTATAACATCACTACTGTAGTAGATCTGGTTGTTATTTACAAAAGATTTTACCGTCAAGTTAAAAATGCAAGAAAATATTTTTTTTTAACTATAAAAAATTTCATTATGGTCAGCTATGCCCCCCCCCACCCCCACATTGCGGGGTCTGGCGGCACTGTAGTCCCGCCCCCCCCCCCTCCCCACGCGAAAGCAGCCTCCTCTTAGTTACCTCCCCCAAGTTTAAAATCGTTTCAAACTACATTATCTGCCCCTAATAGCCGTCACTAAACCCGGCTCTACGATTGTAAACATTTAGCGTGAACCACAGCTCACCAGACCATGTGGGGTGGGGGTGGTAGGGATATGCCCAGAGAGGAAGAGAGGGGGTTGCTAGGCGCGCTTACAGCTTGGTGTTTTCTAGGGTATCCAAGAAGAGAATTATATATATAGATACAAGTGGTGACCGATATGTAGACAAGAGATGTCTTATTTGTATAGAAGTGATGACTGATGTGTATAGTAGTGATGACTGATGTGTATACAAGTGATGTCTGATTTGTACACAAGTGATGATTGATGTGTATAACAACTGATGACTGATGTGTATAGAGGTGATGACTGATGTGTATAGAGGTAATGACTGATGTGTATAGAGGTGATGACTGATGTGTATAGAGGTAATGACTGATGTGTATAACAATTGATGACTGATGTGTATATAAACGACGACTGATGATGTGTATACAAGTGATGACTGTGTGTATAAAAGATTTTTTTTATATCCCTACCATAGGAATTAGGATTTATGTCATTTTGACATGTTTTTTTCGACTTCCAACCTTTGTGTTAGTTTCCACACCAACAGACGACAGTATCTGCTACTTGTTTACACAGCCTCGATCTGATCGAGGGGTCACGTGGACGATTGCGTCCCGAAGACTTCTGCTGGTCAGCATATGCCTGAGGTTTGACGTCTGTCAATTTTTTTTACAAGCCACAGAAATCTCGTGTCATTTTCTGATTGGATGAATAGATGGCAAGATGTCAATCACATATTCGAGGGGGAAAAAGTTTAACTTTTTGATTGTCTGGTTTAAATTGGAAAAACAAAAACCTGATTAAATTTTAACAAATGAATGATTAAGTAGAAAGAAGTGATTCGCTAATTAAACAGCAATTAGTTGAATGAACATGTTTATACGAGTACCGATATAAGACGCTAACAATCAATGTCGGGATCAACAACCTTTTAAAAACTAAGGTGCCAATAGACAAGTTCCATCTGCTAGAAGATATTTGGGGAACCGCGGCTATGCTCCTTTAATTGGTGAGTTTTATCATGAAACAAATAACATACACGATGTGCCTTATGTCATTTCATTGGCACCTCCACGCTAAGTAGCTCAAAGTCAAAACTCTGACCCCCCCATCTCCCCATCTCCCATATTTTCATCATGAGCCTGACATAATTTAGGCTAATCTTTTAGGACCTACTCTATCCATGCTAAGGTCAATCTTTTAGGACCTACTCTTTCCATGATAAGGTCAATCTTTTAGGACCTACTCTATCCATGCTAAAGTCAATCTTTTAGGACCTACTCTATCCATGATAAGGTCAATCTTTTAGGACCTACTCTATCCATGATAAGGTCAATCTTTTAGGACCTACTCCATATACAGCTAAGGTCAATAACTGTAACTTGAGATAAGTTATCATCTGTGAGTTCCCTGTAGTGAATGAGTGAAGGCTGGTTTACCCCCCCTCCCCCCCCCCCCCCCCTGCCTACGCAACTAACCCCTGATACTGTAGACTGCCGTCTTCCAATATGTCATCATAGATTTATGTTGCACCAACAAATCCAGCTAAATCTTACATCGCTATGTTTGACTAAGCACAGCACACATTTCACATGCTAGTTGTGTTCTTATGTGAAGTATTACATTCAAACTTTATAATCTGTATGGATTAAATTTGTGTTGAAATAAAATTGTCCAGAGATATTGGTGCTTTAAGTAGCCGCTCCATGTAGCAGTAAGCTAGGCAGCACGGATAGGGTCTGGTTACATTCATTAGGGTCTGGTCTCTACTGTCGCTAATTACAATCAGCCAATACAGGTGGCTGGTAGTCGACTCAAACAAGACACAATTAATTACTCATAACATGTCTTCATTCTTAACTTGATTCTAACATTCAATCATTTAGCACCCCTCCCCCCCCCCCCCACACACACAAGCTGGACCCCCCCCCCCCCCTCCCCACAAGCTGGACCCCCACCGTGGCACGAGGCTGTGTTTACCAGCAGAGCCGGGGCTTGGCGTCTGCTCACTGTGGCCAGCCATTCGCTGAGGGGCGGGTGTGGAAGACGGAGCAAGGCCTGGCTCCTCCCCCACGGGCGCTATGGGAATGTATGAAATACCAATCAGTGTCGACCGTGGCTCGTGTCGTCTGCTGTCAGTTGGAGTTAATTTGCGGGCAGTCGTTCGTGACTTTCTCACACCCATCTTACCACACGGATACGTGCTCCGGCCGGCCCGCTCCAACTTTTTATACACTTTTGGAGCTCTTTAAAAACTTGACGCGTTTGTACACGGCACAAAAAATGTTTGATAAAACGAATGATAGAATCAAAAGGTGAGTACACAATATTCCGGTATTTTAAGACACATTATGATTACAGCCAGTAGCTTATGGTTAGATAAATGTTGGTACATCATGAAGGTGAGTAGCTAACCCAATGGCTTAAGCTTTTAATCTGCTATGTGCAACGGATTAGTGATTAACTTGTTTACAGCATAAGCCTATCTTATCTAGACTTACAAGATTTAGACATGAAAGCTTTCAAAACACATTTGACTGAAGTTTACAGCAATAGATATTATTATCTAATCAAGTTATATGATCTAACTATTTAACGAAAATAACGGGAAAAAAGCAAGTTAAAAAACAATTTAAAAAATCTTAAAGTAGCTGTCGGTAGAATAGTTTGATTTTCTGAACTATAAAAGTTTCAAATAGTTTTCTGGAAAAGGAATTTTCAAATGTCTGTAGCATGGTCTGCCTCCCTCCCCCCCCTTTAATCATCGGTCTCTGGTGACTTTAATAAGAGCTTGTTGCGTTTGGCCATTCTAGGTGTTTTAATTTGACTAAAAAACAAAACAAACACCAAATCTCATTTTCCTTATTATTAGACCAACGTTTATTCTATTTCTGAGACATTTACATAAGTGTAATGTAAGGCATTCAAATTAAATGTAAATCTATTTTTTATGTGGCAATTTTTTTGGTACACCTAAATCTAGGACTATATGTAAAATACAGGATTTAAACATGTTAGGCCTATATCTAGTTAATATAATATGGCAGACATATTTCATGGTGCACTTAAAATAAAGGATACAAAATGGACACAACAAAGAATACCTAGCAAAACGACTAACATTTCACTGAATGTTCCTGTACTATCTTAAAATACCAAATATTATTTGTTCACATGACATGACAGTGACAAGTGTATCATGGACGTGTACTAAAATGTGTTAGCTAGACATGTCTACTAAAATGTGTTAGCTAGACATGTCTACTAAAATGTATCAGCTAGACATGTCTACTAAAATGTGTTAGCTGGACATGTCTACTAAAATGTGTTAGCTAGACATGTCTACTAAAATGTGTTAGCTAGACATGTCTACTAAAATGTGTTAGCTAAACATGTCTACTAAAATGTATCAGCTAGACATGTCTACTAAAATGTGTTAGCTAGACATGTCTACTAAAATGTATCAGCTAGACATGTCTACTAAAATGTGTTAGCTAGACATGTCTACTAAAATGTGTTAGCTAGACATGTCTACTAAAATGTGTTAGCTAGACATGTCTACTAAAATGTGTTAGCTAGACATGTCTACTAAAATGTGTTAGCTAGACATGTCTACTAAAATGTGTTAGCTAAACATGTCTACTAAAATGTATCAGCTAGACATGTCTACTAAAATGTGTTAGCTAGACATGTCTACTAAAATGTGTTAGCTAGACATGTCTACTAAAATGTGTTAGCTAGACATGTCTACTAAAATGTGTTAGCTAGACATGTCTACTAAAATGTGTTAGCTAGACATGTCTACTAAAATGTGTTAGCTAAACATGTCTACTAAAATGTATCAGCTAGACATGTCTACTAAAATGTGTTAGCTAGACATGTCTACTAAAATGTGTTAGCTAGACATGTCTACTAAAATGTGTTAGCTAAACATGTCTACTAAAATGTATCAGCTAAACATGTCTACTAAAATGTATCAGCTAGACATGTCTACTAAAATGTGTTAGCTAGACATGTCTACTAAAATGTGTTAGCTAGACATGTCTACTAAAATGTGTTAGCTAGACATGTCTACTAAAATGTGTTAGCTAGACATGTCTACTAAAATGTGTTAGCTAAACATGTCTACTAAAATGTATCAGCTAGACATGTCTACTAAAATGTGTTAGCTAGACATGTCTACTAAAATGTGTTAGCTAGACATGTCTACTAAAATGTGTTAGCTAGACATGTCTACTAAAATGTGTTAGCTAGACATGTCTACTAAAATGTTTTAGCTAAACATGTCTACTAAAATGTATCAGCTAGACATGTCTACTAAAATGTGTTAGCTAGACATGTCTACTAAAATGTGTTAGCTAGACATGTCTACTAAAATGTGTTAGCTAGACATGTCTACTAAAATGTGTTAGCTAGACATGTCTACTAAAATGTGTTAGCTAGACATGTCTACTAAAATGTGTTAGCTAAACATGTCTACTAAAATGTATCAGCTAGACATGTCTACTAAAATGTGTTAGCTAGACATGTCTACTAAAATGTGTTAGCTAGACATGTCTACTAAAATGTGTTAGCTAGACATGTCTACTAAAATGTGTTAGCTAGACATGTCTACTAAAATGTGTTAGCTAGACATGTCTACTAAAATGTGTTAGCTGGACCATAATCGGGTGATGCTGTCATTGTCTGCTTGTCCAGAACATATTTCTGGTTTAAGTTGCTGACCTGGGGTAGGTTTAAACCAAAATTCTAGTTCTGTTCACATGAGAGCCAGTAATAAACGAATCTTCGTTCATAGTGGGTTGACTCTAACGAGGTTTGTGTGGGTATTTGGTGGGAGACGTGCTTAATTGTTCAATTTTGAACTTGAATGTTCAACTTGAACACTCAATTCTGATATCTATGTTTAAAGTTTTGAAGATGGGTGGTAAATACATTTCTTATAGCCGTTAAAATCATTGGTGGTCAGTTCCATATTGAGAGATGCCTGAAAGAAACACTAATGGCTGCTCCTAGCTTGTAGTGAGTTCTTCTCAAAAGGCTCCAGAGATAGAATTTAATTCGTTGGCGAAAACATCGGTACGAATATGTATAGTTTTATCTTAGAATGTCAAATGTTAATACTTATTTTCAATGACTCAATATCTAAATAATATATTAATATACATTTTCAACTGTTCATTTTTTTTCGCTGATAAAACAGTTTAAACTACGTTTATTGATACAAATTTATGACTGACTGTAATTGATATTTGATTAAAACACGAAAATAAAATATGGTGCATAATTGCCCGATTCGTACAATACGAAATAATTATTTTCAACGCTTTATTTCCACGAACAAAGTCGATTTTTGTACGTTGATTACTAGATAAGTTTGCAACGATTTTTAGTAGTTACTATATCAGTTGAGATTTTCTTCATCAGTGGACATTTTCTTTATCAGTGGACATTCTCTTTGTTAGTTGACATTTTTTGTGAATCAAGTCTACATTCCTCTTGCGAGTTTATACATTCTCTGGAGGCAGGTATCTGTAAGATATTGTGTAGCCTGTTGCAGACCCCTTTTGTTATTCGGAAACTTCCAGTTACGTACAATTAAAACTGTTCTACATGAGATTTAAAAAAAATATTGTTCCTTCGCATTAGTTTCGTTTAGAAATCCATGTTTTTAAGCGAGGTAAAACCTCCTCGTCTTGTCTGCTCAAGAGTTCCCGTCCTTGCCTACAATACTTAGTGCATATATAGTACTTTTAGTAGGCTTTTCTACTTCTTCCAGTGTCTCCTTCCTCTGTTGTTTTTGTATTTGTGTGGATGGCAGGTATTCATTCAACTGTAAATCTCAGATTTGATTTCCTACACTATCGCAAACTTGTTTCCTGCGCGAAGTGAACTGATATTAGTTTGTAGACGTCACACCTGAGGACAAGGACATGAGAGGACAAGAGGACCAGGTCCCCTCGGTACGAACACGCAAGGTACGGGTCACAGGAGGACCCGGGCAGACGTGAACAAGCTGGGACAAATTTTTGGGGACACGTGACCTGCTCACACGGGGGATGGGGAAGTTTTATGAATTATGGGTAGAGGTTCACATCAATTAGATTCACATTATGGGTAGAGGTTCACATCAATTAGATTCACATTATGGGTAGAGGTTCACATCAATTAGATACACACGACGGCTATACATCTTTGTTTAGGTGGTACTGAGTTTATGGCAGTAGGTTTATTTGTTACCTCACTAATTGGCTCAACTTTATTTGTTATCTTTGTTAGATGGACTAAGTTGATAGTTTGAAGTTTAATTGTTACGAAACTAATTTAATTTAGCTTTATTTGTTTGTTTTTTTAGGTGGTAGCATACTAAGTCTGTCGATGACAATAGGATTACTTGGCACGAAAGTAGATCTAATTGTCTTTAGCTTAATTTGGTAGTTGTTCGAGGTGGGACGAAGACACCAAGTTTACGACTGTAGGCTTGTTTGCTACAAAATTAATCGTTTTTATTTCTGTTTGGTAAAAACAATAAGTTAATGTAGTATATCTCTGTGTGAAGGTGGTGTATATATACCGTATGTTCATTACGGAGCATTACAGGTATATATAGAATACAACTTTCTACAACTCCACCCTCACACTCGGGTATGTTTGAAACAAATAGTCTTTGATGTGTAGTTAGAACATAGAGAAATACATGCATTGAATCTAGTTTGTATATATTCGATTTGTACAAAAATATAATCCTGAGTCAAGTTTGTACAAAAATATAATCCTGAGTCAAGTTTGTACAAAAATATAGCAATAAGTCAAGTTTGTACAAAAATATAGTCCTGAGTCAAGTTTGTACAAAAATATAGCAATAAGTCAAGTTTGTACAAAAATATAGTCCTGAGTCAAGTTTGTACAAAAATATAGTCCTGAATTAAGATTGCAGATACCATTACTGTAGCTGTGAAACTTGTTGTGAATGTATGTTAAATACACGTTAAATTAGCGTTCAGATTCTCTCGGTATTTTGTATCCATGATGTTCAAGAATGCGTTCAAGTAGGTTGAGGGGGAACATAGAGAAAAATAAAATGGAGTTCCGTTTATATTCGTAACATGGTGTGTTAAAACTCGGACCTTTAAAAAACAGATATTTGTTACATAGACTTGTCTTACAAGGATCTGTGTAACAATGCCATGTAACATTGACCTTTGTAACAGTGATATTTGTAACAATGTCAGGTGTAACATTGAACTTTGTAACAGTGATATTTATAACAAAGTCAGGTGTAACATTGAACTTTGTAACATAGACCTTAGTAACATTTATATTTGTAACACTGACTTTTTTAACAATTTTAACATTAAAATTTATGTTAAATGTAACATACGAAACACTGATCTTGTAACAACGATAATTTTAATTTGACATTTGTAAAAATAATTTTTTAACACATATGTTAAAAAACAATGATTCCTTATCATTGATTTATGTAGCAACGACAAAAATGACAAAGTAACATTAACACCTATTCTAAGGATTTAGGTAACATGAAGCCCTACAATGTAGAAACATTTGATAATAATTTGTACATAAAATAGCATTTCAGCAACAGCTTAAAACAGCATTTCTGTAACTGCTTGAGACAGCACTTAGCGACAGCTCGATGTCGATAGTGCAAGCAACGACCAGCGCACGCTCACGACAGCAGTTCTGATAACAGTCGAACAGCAGACGACACATGGTCAAGTTCACGACGCCGTGTTATACACTGACGTCACTTCCGAGTAGATCTTGTCACGTGTAAATGCGCAATTTAGTTTTTGATCATGTCATTAAAAACATTGTTGCAACATATTCTCATAGACCTTGCCACTGTGGACCTAAGTGACCTAACTGACCTAAGTGACCTAACTGACCTTCGACACGTAGCTGTCTGCTCTCTCTGAAATTGTTGGTCCGTAGCCCAGAAGTTAGTGTCGTCATTTGCTTAAAACAATACAAGGTCGAACTACCAATCGCGAGTTAATTAATTAGTGTAAATTCTAACATAGTTCATGTTGCACGTTAAATACAATAATAATTTATGTTAATCCAATATTTTTGAAGCTATTCCAAGATAAAACCAATAATTTATGTTAATCCAATATTTTTAAACTAATCCAAGATATAACCTGCCTTGTATTTGTTACAGAACCCCCGTTTATCGACAACCTGGTCAGGCTACAATGGCAAACTTCTGACTTGCTCTGTGACAACGTACCCGGTTCGAATCACGACAAGGACAGGCCAAGCAGAGAGGAACAGTTTCACACAGAGTCGAGATGTTTATATGGTGCTGAGTGTCTCAATGGTGGGGAGCTGCTAAGCTGCTCTGGCTAATGCCAAGTTCCAAGTCGTATCAATCTTTATTTGATAAACCCCTGAACCCGGTGCTCGACGTGACACTGTGACGTCTGTGTTGACTGCATACAAGCAGCAGCTTGTTTAGTCAGACACAGATCCAAGTTTTACTTCAAGACAGGAATATCTGCTGGATAGTTCATCAAATACATATCGTAAGGACATTCCGTTGTAACATATACAGTCCAACATACACGCATTTAACGGACAGGCTACCAAACAAAGATTTAGCCGGACAGTCCGTCATAAAAGCCGACATCTGAGAGTCCGTCACACACATCCACACCGGAAGTCCATCGAGCCATCTGGTGAGGGTCCAAGATGAACGAGCACGCCTACTTCCACTGGGACCTCTTGAGGCAGCCCCTACAGACCCCACAGTTCGGCATGGGGGCCTCGTTCTTCGACGTCAACAGGTCAGCCATTTCCTTCATCTCATCTAATTCTATGCCCTTTGGTTGAACTGATCTCCTTCTATAATTATGTGCCCTTTGGTTTATCAAATTTCCTGCATCATTCTATGCCCTTTGAAGAATGCGTTGTGTGCTTTTTTGCGATGTTAATTATTTAGGACACCCCATCAGAATTTATCGTGATCTTCTTTCAGCGTATGTCTTTTTAAAATGTCCCATTTTATGTTCTCGCTTTACTCGATACTAGAAGCACATTTATTTGTTCGTACACATATGTCGTATTGGTTTCAGGTTGGCCTGGCTCTAACACATATCGCACAGACATCCCCATACTATATACACTGGTGTAAACACCACCCTTCCTTTTACACTGATGTAAACACCACCCTTCCTTTTACACTGATGTAAATACCACCCTTCCATTTACAGTGATGTAAACACCACCCTTCCTTTTACGCTGATTTAAACAACATCGCTGATGTAAATACACCCCAACACTAGAGAACGCCCCACCCCCCGCCTGAAATAACTCAAACCTATTCCATGTTTGCACAGCGGAGGTAGGCCGGCTTAGCGTTAGGATGTAGATGTTCGGGTACACCCCCCACCCCACCCCCTGCCTGTACCTGGCGCCCCTCCCTCCCCCCTCTAAAGGTTACAACGGTTGTCCGTTACTTTGATGTGGGCCCCAGACTGTGTTGACAGTCGCAGGATCAAATCCAGACCAGAAACTCCTGCTCCTTCATCTGAGATTAACCCCAGGACATGGCCGTCTAGACGGCTATAAAGGGGTGTTCACACGGCCTTCTGGACGGTTCTAAAAAAGTGTTCACATCAACCTGTATACCACCCTTCGTCTAATAAATCTTGAACAATGAAATTTTACAAACATTTACCAATTTTCTGATTTAATAATAAAAAAGAAACAGTTTTAGACATTCAAAGATATTTTGAAACCAACAATTTAAAACAAACGCGTTTGATGAGGAAAGAGGAATATGGGGGCACATTTTTTCTTTGGTTTTGTTTCCCCAACATATTTTCTATGTATTGGCAGTTGAGAATCTTATTTTTAATGATCGAATGACTCATTATTTCTAGCACTAGTGTCCGAGTGAGCTAATTAATTTCATGTAATTAATGCACCTAGACGATTTTTATGAGGAAATTATACACTTTGGCGTGATCGATAACAGTATAGACCCGGTTAAATCTCTCGTCTATGTGTGTGTGTGGGCATGTGTGTGTGTGTCAGTGTGTGTGGGTATTTGTGTGTGTGTCAGTGTGTGTGGGGGTATGTGTGGGGTGTTGGTATGTGGATGGTGTGGATTTGTGTGTGGGTTTGTGTGTGTGGGTATTTGTGTGTGTGTCAGTGTGTGTGTGGGTATGTGTGGGGTGTTGGTATGTGGATGGTGTGGATTTGTGTGTGGGTTTGTGTGTGAGTATGTGTGTGGGTGTGGGTGTGGGTGTGCCTGTAGTAGTGGTCATTACACTGGTCATCCGGCGGAATGTAGAAACCCTGAAGGTCAAGGTCAAGCAGGGAAAACAAAAGTCGTCATCAGCTGGATAACAACACGCGTCGTGATTCATGTGGACATGTTAAATTCCGCCATCCGGTGACGTCACTTCCACTATGATGTATGTGATGATCGCCCCACATACTCGGTGATATACGAGCGTATACTCTAGTAGCAATTAACAGACATTATGCTTGACTAGATTAGCCGACTTTAGTTGAGCCATATTTCAGCCGAACCAACTTTAGCTGAGTTCTTTATTACAATTGCCAGCATGAGCTAAATGCTTGACTTATTTATCATTCAGAACTTGCAAAATTATTTCTTGATTTTAAAAAAAGCGCCTTATACAACACCTATAGAAGTTAGTGTCCACGCCTGCTTGAAGATGTTGTCTGAAGACGATAACTACTCAGCCACTACTACAAGTTAGTGACGACGCCTGCCTAAAGATGTTGTCTAAAGATGCTAACTACTCAGTAATCGCCCCTTAAACATGGCCGACAAGTTAGCGCCGTCCTGTTGGCGAGCTCAGCAAACACGCCTCGGTTGGTTTTGACTTTGCTCAAGGATTGTCGTCTGCTACGAGATGTCGCCGCCTGCGTGTTTGAACTCCTCACCTGTGGATCGATCACGAGGAATCGAACCCGATCAATCCAGACCTGATACAGCCAGGCTAGAGAGTTCTTTGTTAAGGTGCGTCTTTTGATCATCAGTTCTACCACAAGATCTCCTCACGGCAAAGTATGGCTTTAGTTTCAGCATAACGAAATATGCTTTTGTTTGAGCATTCAAAATATGGCTTAAATTTTATCTAGCTTCACACAGGTTTACACCATACACACCTTGTCAATATATGGCTTACACATCTAGTAAATGTAGTATCTCCACTGTGTAAGTTATATAACACCATAAACACCTTGTCAATATATGGCTTACACATCTAGTAAATGTAGTATCTCCACTGTGTAAGTTATATAACACCACTAAAGTATAAATGGGAAGGCCCTCAAGTCATGTCAATTTTCGAATCAAATTTTTGATTAACCCATCACCGCTAACTATAAGCTGCTTTACAGTAGGCCGAATGTTCTAGAAAACTCATACATCTAACCCTAACCTGAAAGCTCTATACGAAAACATGAAAAAATCATCCGAGGAGTCTTCAGTGCAATAAGTAGTTCTTAGCTAGATGGACAAAACGCACGTCTTGTTGGCTGTTCTATAAATGTGTCTTGTCCTGTTTTATATGGATGTTTGTTAAGTGATGTGTGACATCTGGAGTAAGCGATGTGTGACATGTGAGGTAAGCGATGTGTGACATGTCAGGTAAGCGATGTGTGACATGTGAGGTATGTGATGTGTGACATCTGAGGTAAGCGATGTGTGACATTTGAGATATGTGATGTGTGACATCTGAGGTAAGCGATGTGTAACATCTAAGCGATGTGTGACATTTGAGGTATGTGATGTGTGACATCTGAGGTAAGCGATGTGGGACATCTGAGGTAAGCGATGTGTAACATCTAAGCGATGTGTGACATGTGAGGTAAGCGATGTGTGACATCTAAGCGATGTGTGACATGTGAGGTAAGCGATGTGTGACATCTGAGGTAAGCGATGTGTGACATGTGAGGTAAGCGATGTGTGACATCTGAGGTAAGCGATGTGTGACATGTGAGGTAAGCGATGTGTGACATCTAAGCGATGTGTGACATCTGAGGTAAGCGATGTGTGACATGTGAGGTAAGCGATGTGTGACATCTAAGCGATGTGTGACATTTGAGGTAAGCGATGTGTGACATTTGAGGTATGTGATGTGTGACATCTGAGGTAAGCGATGTGTGACATGTGAGGTAAGCGATGTGTGACATGTGAGGTAAGCGATGTGTGACATGTGAGGTAAGCGATGTGTGGCATCTAAGCGATGTGTGACATTTGAGGTAAGCGATGTGTGACATTTGAGGTATGTGATGTGTGACATCTGAGGTGAGCGATGTGTAACATCTAAGCGATGTGTGACATTTGAGGTAAGCGATGTGTGACATTTGAGGTAAGCGATGTATGACATTTGAGGTATGTGATGTGTGACTTCTGAGGTGAGCGATGTGTAACATCTAAGCGATGTGTGACATTTGAGGTAAGCGATGTGTGACATTTGAGGTATGTGATGTGTGACATCTGAGGTAAGCGATGTGTGACATCCCATTGCCACAAGTGAAGGGACGTAACTGGGACAGGCCACAAACAGGGAGATAACCCGCGCCATTCATGCGCCGGGGTCGTGACTGTTATCACATCTAGTGGACCAAGTAACGGGTTAGCCGTACCGCGGGACCAGGGTGACGCAGGCAAGTTTTCTGGGGACACCTTTCTATTTGCCGCCAGTCTGTTACATAACCTTCAGGGTCGACCTAATGTTTGGGCAGGGTCGGGCCATACTCCTATACCTCTATTCCTATACCAAGGGTCAGCCTCTACTCCTATACCCAGGGTCAGCCAGGGTCGGACTATATATCCAGTGATAGCCTCTACTCCTATACCCGAGGTCGGCCTATATGGCCGATGAGGGAAAATAATGAGAAAACTCATCATCGAACACATGATTTTATCTTAGGCCAATTTGTCAACTAAAACAAATTAGCAAACACTGCAAACTAATTATAATTAAGATTACGTTAAAAACAGAAGTCACGTATTGTAATCTTTTATTTGGGAAGAAGTCAGATGTTTTCTCAAATATCACAATCGAAAGTGAAATTTTCATCTTGCTTTCTACAAGACATACATCAACATAAGCCATGCAATGGTCATTGCTCCTTTAGCTAGCCCAGAATAAAGGATCGTTTATATGATTAAACACACCCAAACACAAAAAGCATTCGCACACACACACACACACACACACACACTAGTGTTTATATATATATATATATATATATATATATATATATATATGTTTGTGTGTGTAAGTATGTATGCCTGCTGAGAATGGTGTGGCTATGATGACCCCATGTTTTATTGTAATTACACTTTAAACTCGCGGATTAGAACCCCGGCGGTTTTTTATGCACTTGTTATGGCCGCGGTATGATGTCGGCCGGGCACCTGTCGGACTGAAATCTTGGACTCTTTATGGGCCACTACTGTCAACCTGGGCCTGGGAGGGGTGGGTTACGTGACGGGGCCCCCACTGACGTGTCGGCATCATCTGTTTGTCACAGTTATGATGGGTGGGGGGGGGGGGGGGACCCGGCCCCTGGACAAATAAATTCAACTTGACTTGAAAATCTTGCCGGGCTATTTCTGGCAGACATGTTTTACCATAATCTCTCTCTCACACACACATGCACACACACACACACACACACACACACACAAACCCACGCACACACACACGCACGCACACACACACACACACACACACGCACACACACCTTTTGCTTACCACCGCGGGGTGCTGGTTGTTGTTTTAGAGTTACGACC